ATAGTCACATTACAGTTTAAAAGGGTTTTATAATCACTGAAAAATTCCTTAAAAGGAGTCATGTGATAGGTGCAAGCTGAATCTAATAACCATTCATTCTTATTAAAAGCAGTCACATTGGAACATTCAGCAGTAACAGCAAACACTTCACCTAAGCTATCATCATGAGAAATCAAATTTACTTGTTCATTTGAAGAGGTATTAATAGTGGGTGTTCCATTTCTAAAGTTATTGTTGTTGTTATTCAAGTTTCTATTCTTCTTAGGACAATTCCTAATGAAATGTGAAGTGTCACCACAATTAAAACACCGTTTAACATACTTTGTAGGGGTTTGAGATCTATTCCTAGACTTACTCCTAGACTTCTTCTTATATTGACTATTGTAGGAGTTATTCCATTGCTTATTGTTATTTGAAAAAGAGCCATTTTTATTCGGTCTAAAGGGAGATCTACCCCTAACATGCATCACCTCACCATGTGTATGTTTATTAGCTTTACTTAGTTTCAAATCCACTTCTTTACTTTTTAGACCATTTACCACAACATCTAGAGTAATTACATCCCTACCATATTTTATAGCTGATTTTACATCTGAATATGTACTAGGGATTGCATTTAACATAACAATAGAGCTGTAATCATCTATGTTTTTATCCCCTGTAAGTTTTATATCTTGAATTAACTTTGAAAAAACATCTAAATTTTCATCTATTGTCCTTGAAAGATCTAATTTGAAACTAAAGAACTGTTCTAACAAATGTATCCTATTTGGAAGTGAAGTTTCAGTATACATGTTATTTAATTTGTCCCACAAATCCTCAGCTGAACCATAAGTACCTATTTTTCTAATTACATGGTCAGCTAGGTTTAAAATAATGCACGAAGATGCAAGTTCATCAAGTTCAAACCTTTCTTCAAGAGAAAGGTCTGTTGCTTGATCAGGTTCAACTGCTTTTATCAATCTTTGAGTTACAAGAACACTTCTCATCTTTTGTTTCCAAATTGCAAAATCAGATTTTCCATCAAAAGGTTGTATATTAAAAAATGCTTGACTAGCCATGAATTTTAAAATGAAGAGAAAACAATCTGTTTTAAGAAAAAGACACAAGAACAGGCCAAATTTCACAAGAAAAAACTACTGGTCCTAAGAACAGATTCACTGGATCGCTTTAAAAACAGATTTATTGTTTATAAAATCTCAACAAAAATATCCACCAGATAAGAATGCTCCAGAACAGAGAAAACTGAATAGTAACTAATCCAAGGGTTAGTTTCTTGAGAAAACTAACTTAGGAGCAGTTAATATTTCATAACACACAACCAGCTTTGCACAAACTGCTCTAACTAACACTTTAACTGTCACAATAACCTCAAACAGCCACACTTATCACAGAAACAGCCACTTAGCACAAAAACAGCCACTTAACAAACTCAAATCGCCACACTTAATCACCCCAAAAACTGAAATCTCACAAAAATATGTAACAGGGTTAAGAATGTTACCCACTCCAAGCTCCGCAACTATTCTTTGACTTTCTTTTCGTAATTCAAGGCCTCCAACCTGTAAAATCCTTCCAACTGCGCACTTAATACACAAATTAGTAAAGTTTGGATGAATCAATCAACAAGGAACTACCCAAATCAACCAAACAAGGATGATTTCAAGTCCTAATCTCCTACAGGCCTATCTTAGTCCTTAATCAAGGAGATCTAAACTTTACAGAGGTGAAAACACCATAAAAATTCAGTTTTCACTTCGACAGAGCAGTAAACAACCAAGACTTCGAAAACCTTGAAATTATTTACACAAAACCTTCGGATTTTACAGAGAGAACTAGGTGTTCACTCCAGGAACTCGAAAATCACGATTCCAGTAAACTAGCAAGCCCTAACCAGCTCTGATACCACTTGTAATCGAAATTTAGGACCTAATACTTGTAGTTTACAACTAATCGAACACATATGAAACAAGAAACATCGAATCTTTTATATACTTTGTTAATCGAAGGAGTTCGGACTCAGTTTACCCAATATTTCAACCGACTAGCAACACTTACACACAACCTCGACCCAAACACTACCGACATCCACAGAAACGCACAATCAGCGCGATTAACAACCTAATCGAAAGAAATCTCAAGATTCTAAGCCTAAATCATCGCGGACAATCAATTACACCACGAACAGCTCATAAACATAGAATCGAGAAATCAAACCGAAGAACTGCTCTAGAACAAGCTGTAACACAACCACGGTGGATGAACTTCAAGTTCCGATGGCCAAACTCGCCGGAATGCACCAGACAGATCGATCGCGTTCGTCGGGAAAGCTAGGGCTCCAGAGGGTGAATATCGCGATAGAAGGAGTGAGGATTAATCTGTCTGTCTGAACCGGGAAGCAGGGTATATATATATCAGACCCCTTGGACCGGTTTGAGGGCGGTCCAGGGCGGTTCAGGCCATCCGAACCCATCCTCCAATTCATCACTCAATCGGGTCGAACCGCGGGCACGGGATCCGAGTTTCGATAGGTCGGGTCGGGTCGAAGTGTAATATGCACAAAACATCACAGACTCTTTTTTATTTGATAAGGTAAAATTCAATTAGTTTTTTAATTTAGTACAATAATCCAAAGAATTTAAAATTATATATAAAATAGAATACGTAAAGAATATTTTTTGATCTTGTAAAATGTGTATAATTAGAAATGAGTTACTTTAGTATGTTTTGCAAAAATAAAAGAATATACTGAAATTTATGCAAAAATAGAGCTATGAATAGAAGATGCCTAAACATACAGATAAAAATGATCCTACCTTGTCATTAAGGTGCAAAAATTAACCCGATTTAAAATAATTGGGTTTTAGTCGAGATTTTTGACAATTTTAATAATTGTGTCAAATTCATTTAATCTATTTAATTAAATGAGTTAGGTTCAGGTTAAGATTTTTAACCTAAAAATAACATACTCCCTCCGTCCCGCAAGAAGAGCGTCGTTTGTTTTTTGCACGTAGATTTTTTAATATTAATATTATATTAGTTTGTAACAAAAAAGACGAAAATGCCCCTATTAGTATGGTGTGTTATAAAAGTGGTGGTGACATTTGTGTAATATATGGTAAATTGTAAAGGTATTTATTATGTTAGACATGTAGTACAGTTATTAAATTAGGAAATTGTACAATTGTTTTGAGACAGACAGAAAATTGTATTATTCTTATGAGATGGAGGGAGTATTTAATAAATATTACTTTAAATTAAAAAATATATATTTTTAATTTTACAATCCAACCCAAATATTAATGGACCATTTTATAAAAAACAATAAATTTAAGCTCAAATCCTACAAAATTAGAGTTAAAAAAATCATTTCAGATTTATATTTGATATTTACTCCATCCGGGAGTTCCTCCGCCATTTTTGCTTTTATCGGCTCATCCCTAAACAAATGTAAGACTATGAGTTTATATTTTTCAATAGATTGAAAGGCAAAACCCATCGTATATTTCTATTTGCACTATTGTGTGGTGTTTATTAATTCAACTTTTGGATATCGATTTTATGATATGAATAAATATTTTTATGCTTTAATATATATTATGCATTTGACAATTTTGTTAGTAAAATTTGTGATTGTTTAAATTTAAACTAGTTATACAGATCAAATTTAGGTTGACTCAAATAGTAAAACCTCACACCGATCTAACTTTATTATTTTGCCAGCCCTACTTGTCACTGATTAAGTGTAAAAAAACTAAAATAACATTGAATTATAAGGACTTACATCTAATAATATATGTTAAAAAGAGTATTGTGTTGCTTTATTTTAAATGATAAGATATTTTATTAATATTATTGAACTCATTCTTTATATATAAAAAATATTATAATTAGAAAATTGTCACTGTTATTAATAAAAAAGAATATATTTTTATAAAAACTTATAAGACTTTAAAGTTTATGGTGGATTAGATAAGCTTATCTAAGAGAAGTACGATGAGTTTGCTTGAAATAGATTTCAAATAATCTATCTTAATATTGAATCTTCACGAGTTTTAATAAAAAATTGTTATTTTCTTTTACAAATGATCATATTAAAATTTTACCTAAAAAAAAAGTTTAATGAAAAACCCATACTAATACTAAAAAATAAACCAAATCAATTATTTTTTAAGATTACTCTTTTTATTTTTATTTTTTATTTATTTCTATGGTCTAGGAATTTACTTTGATTGAAATTTTTATTTTTATTTTTCTTCTTCTTAAAAACGGCCATAATGATGTAATTGGTAGGATATTAATTCTAGAAGTATGTTACTCTTTCTTTACATATCTAGTATATTATTTTCTTTGCTTTGGTTAGATACTGACCGAGTCAAATAAATATGATGCTAATTTGTTTAAATTTGTACATGTTTATAAAAACATATATGATACAATATATGGTATAATGTCACGTACCATAGTATATTATTACCTGAACATAATAAATACATTTATATAACACAATAAAATTTATAGATCGTACATCACATGCTTCTTATATAACATACCATTATGCTATGTTATATAACCATAATCGCTATCTATCTTTTTAATGTTGTTGTTTTAATGTCGTCGCCTTAATAATAGGCGTTGATGTTTTCCGAAAGAAATAAAATATTGAATATTAAAAAATTGGAAGTAAAAAAGAGGAGAAGAAAAGCTACATAGACATTGTAACTATTTTATAAATAGACCAAAATATATTTTACAGATTATATATAAATATACACACATATCGATAAAAATATATTTCATAAAATGAGGGTGAGTGCAAGAAGATGAAAACTTAGAGATGTGTACATGGCTATAAACCTAAACCTCGAGTCAGACTTGAACTTCATTTTCAAATTGTTTCTAAGTAAATGAATTCTAATTTGAACAGATCCAATGGATTGCTATTGATAGCACTGTCCTCTAATCAATGGATTTCTTCAAGTGTATGATTCTTTATGCAGGCTTTAGTTTGCGATTTTCAGCCAAAAGATCCGGAAAATATATGGGTAGCTGCAACAGCATTGTCTGGTAGAGAAGTACCAGGTCGATCACTTTCCTGTTACCATGTTCCTCATCGCGCAATTAATATTCGAACATGCATCAAACCTATTAATTTGTTGTAACTTCCAAGTAACAACAAATGCTTAGCTGGTTTTACTACTTTTATGTGCTTTTGCTAATTAAGATTGTCCAATGGAATCGAAAATGTGGCATGCAGGAGTCGTACTTGTCCGAGAGATAGGGAAACTTCCGAAGAGAAAATGCTGGTTTGTTGGTTACTCGAACAAAAGTTCAATTGAAACAGTAAGGAAATTCAATAGCAATTGGGATACTAACCTCAAGATAGGTCAGCATGATTGTCGAAATTATTGCGAAGGTATTCCTTGCTATATAAATATATGTTGATTGTGTATTAGTGTAAACACCTCCCTAATTATACAAATTTTATACAAATGAGAGGTTAGATAGCCTTATTTGAGTAAAAAAAATAAACAAAAATAATGGATCAATCACTCATTTGATAGTTTTTTTATTTTTTGTTCTTATAAAAAATAGGTAGTAGTTCTTCTCCAAAAAAGTTATGTATTAAATAAATGATTGATAAATTATTTAGTTATTTATTTTATTCAAAATATATATACCATTTAAGATATTTTAATATTTTATTTGTATAAAATTTGCATAATTAGGTGTGTGATTACAAACCAAACATGATATTTGGGTGAAAGATAATGTTTTTGTGTATACTTTAAATTAATATAAGAGAATTTTACACAATATATAAAGGGATGAGATCATATGCTGATTTGAAAATGAAATCAACATATGCTGAAATTAATCCCCACCTCTAATCTTAAATTTAATCTTTTTAATTAAATAAATAATCTAATAATTAAGGGTCATGATTAAATTCAGCTATGCTGAATTAGAATTTTCAGCATAGTATCCCTCTTGATATATAAAATATTGATATGGCTTGAATCTAATTTGCCACTTCGCTGAGTTTTGGGCTGAACCATCTAATGTATTCTCTTAGTTTATTTGAATAGACTTAGAGATACGAAATATGTAATATGTAACCTTGCCGCCGTGAATAAATCTATTATCCGTTTACGCCCGTGGGTGTAGCCAACACGTTGCTGGTGAACCATGTAAATGTGTATCTTCTTTACATTTTCTATTTTTTATTCAATCATTAACCCTTATCTGTCACAACAATTGGTATCAGAGCCTGGTTGTTTTGATAAGGGTTTTGTTTATTTCCTCACTGCTAGGGTTTCGTGAGTCAATCAACAATGTCTGCTTTCAATGTAAAGGTTGACAAATTCATTGGGAGAAATAATTTTAGCTTATGGCAGATCAAGATGCGATCTTTGTTGAACCAACAGGGTTTGTGGGCGCGCTATTTGGAAAACCGAGAGGTACAGAAATAGATGATGAAGAGTGGGATACCGCAGAGGAGAAAGCCCACTCGACAAGCATGTTGTGTCTCTCCGATGATGTAATCATCGAAGTTTCCGATCGGAAACCTGTTGTTGGCCTCTGGAAGAAGTTGGAGAGTTTGAACATGACAAAATTTCTAACCTTATAAGTTACTTTTGAGGCAGCGTCTGTTCAGACTACAAATGCAAGAAGGTACCTCTCTTCGGGACCATCTGGATAAGTTGAACAAAATTCTACTTGGTCTGCGAAATATTAATATTAAAGTAGATGATGATGATGCTACTTTAATCCTGTTAGTATCGTTGCTCGAGTCATATGAGAATTTTGTTGATTTTTTTCTTACTAGGAAAGATAATTTGTGTCTGGAAGATGTTCGATCTGCCCTCCACAACAGAGAATATCGTCAACAGACATCTGGTTTGGCCACAAAAAATCAGGCATTAGGGTTGTCTATTACTGGTAAGGAGCATAAGAAATCTGGAAAGAAGAAACCCAACCATAACAGTTCAAAAGGTCCTAAATCCGGAGAGATCGACAATTACTGTAAAGAACCTAGGCACTAAAAGAATGACTATCCTAAGAAAAAGATGCAACATAAGAAGAAAGAGGGTATTTGTGGTTTTATTTCCGTGGCAGATACGAATTCTGAAGAAGATCTGGCCTTTATTGATGATGAACAGTCATAACATAATAATGTGTGGGCTTTCGATTCCCGGGCATCATACCATATTTATCCTAAAAAAGAGTCTTTCTCGACCTATGAACAGATAGATGGAGGCAATTTTTGTATGGCCAACAATGTTGTCTGCAAGGTGGTTGGAATTGGCTCAATCAGGATACAAACACATTATGGGGTATTCTGCACCTTGAATGAAATTATGCATGTTCCACAGATGATGAAGAATCTGATATCATTGAGTCTTCTTGACAACAAGGGTTTCAGTTTCCGAGGTGAGGGTAGAATTATGTTTATTCGTCAAGGTTCAAAGGTGGTTCTGAAGAGCTTGAAACGTGGTACTTTGCATTTTCTATGAGGTTCTTCCGTGATAGGTTATGCTTGTGTTGCAGCATCTAAGGTTTAGACTAAGGATATGACCAGACTATGGCATATGAGGCTCGACCACATGGGAGAAAGATGGATGCAGATTCTATCAAAGTAGGATTTTCTTTCTGGGCATAAAGTGCAAAATCTTGAATTCTGCGAACATTGTATTTTCGGGAAGCTTCATTGTAGCAAGTTCCCAAAAATAGGTGTTATAAGACCAATGAGACTCTGGACTACATATACTTTTGGAGGTCACATATACTTTGTGTCTATGATTGATGACTACTCAAGGATGACTTGGGTAATTATGATGAAGTATAAAAGCAAAGCATTCAAGCGGTTCAAACAGTGGAAGACCTTGGTAGAAAATCAGACTGGAAAGAAGATCAAGAGGCTGCGAACTGATAATAGTCTGGAATTATGTTAGTCTAAGTTCAATGAGTTCTATAAAGATAAAGGAATTGCCCGACATCACACCATTAGAGATACACCGCAGCAGAATGGTGTGGCAGAACGCATGAATCAGACATTACTGGAGAGAGTAAAATGCATGCTCTCTCAGGCTAGTTTGGCTAGAAAGTTCTGGGCAGAAGTTGTAAACACGGCGTGCTATTTGATCAAGCGTGGACCTCACACTGGCATTGACTGCAGGACACCTTATGAGGTATGGTCTAATAACCCTGCAGATTATTCATTGTTGAAAGTTTTTTGTTGTACTATTTACTATAATGTGAGTGAGGGTAAATTAGAGGCAAGAGCTAAGAAGGGTATATTTCTTGGTTTCGGAGATGAAGTTAAGGGATATAGAATCTTATCATCTTTTGAGAATATAGTTATACTCAGTAGGAATGTGTAATTTGAAGAGAATTCTATGCTTAACCCCATTGTGAAGTCCATTGGTGCAGATCATTGTAGTAGTGTTGATGAACAAGTGGAGCTGCAAGTGTAATACCCCCGGAGTTGGGCCGGTGCTAGGCTAATTTTGTGGATGAGCCGGTGCCAGGCCATTCGAGGTTGAATATAGGTTAAATGGATTGAATAGACTACTCATGTCAACAATGTGCACATTCCTTTTCGAGAGCCCTACTGAAAGAACTATAGAGTTAAGCGTGCTTGCTCTAGAGTAATTTGAGTATGGGTTACCCTCTGAAAAGTCTCCTAGGGTGCGCGTGAGTGATGAAAGAAGCGCGCTAGAAGAACTAGTGTTGACCTATGATGCCAATCTACGATCCCGACAGGCCCATCTTTGCGTGGGTTGCGGGCTGGGGTGTCACATTTGGTATCAGAGCTGACCTTCGACAGCCCACAGTCGTTGATCGGATTGGTGATGGGCCTAGCAGTTGATAATCCTTGGAGTGCAATGTGGACGTTGCATTCTTAAGTGGGGGAGGATATAATACCCCCAGAGTTGGGCCGGTGCTAGGTCAATTCCCATGGATGAGCCAGTGCCAGGCCATTCGAGATTGAATATAGGTTAAATAGATTGAATAGACTACTAATGTCAACAATCTGCACATTCTTTTTCGGGAGTCCTACTGAAAAAACTTTAAAGTTAACCGTGCTCGCTCTATAGTAATTTGAGGATGGATGACGCACTGGGAAGTCTATCAAGGTGCGCACGAGTGAGGACAGAAGCGCGCTGGAATGACTTGTGTTGACCTGTGGGGCCAGTCTGTACGATCCCTACATGCTCGGCTTCGCGTGGCTTGCGGGCTGGGGTGTCACAATTTATATCAGAGCTGACCTGTGATAGCTCACAGTCATTGATCCGATTGGTGACGGGCCTAGCAGCTGACGATCTCTGGGGTGCAATGTGGACTTTGCATTATGAAGTGGGGGATGATGTGATACCCTCGGAGTTGGGTCAGTGCTAGGCTAACTTCTGTGGATGAGCTAGTGTCAGGCCATCCGAGGTTGAATATAGGTTAAATGGATTTAATAGACTACTTATGTCAACAATGTGCACATTTTTTTTCGGGAGCCCTACTAAAAGAACACTAGAGTAAGCACTAGTTCAAATGTTCCGGGTACTCTCCAGACGACCATAGTTGTTGATAGAGCAAAGAGGACAGGTGTGAAGGCTCCATTGAGATATGGCTTTGAGGATATGATGAATTATGCCTTACAAGTCGTTTATGGGTGGAAGAGAAACTATCCATATATAAAGAAGTTGTTTCATGTAGTGAGTTCTCTCATTGATTCGTTGCAATGAGATAAGGGATGGAATCACTACTAAAGAATGGCACTTGATTGCTAGTCAAATGGCTTAAGGATAGGAAGACTATTACATGTAAATGGATCTTCAAGAAGAAGGAAGAAACCACAGCGAGTGAGGATATCAAATACAAAGCTCGGCTAGTTGCAAGAGGATTCTCGTAGAAGAAGGGGGTTGACTATAATGAGATTTTCTCATTAATGGTCAGAGTGTTACTAACAATGGTTGCACATCAGAATTTAGAACTTTAGCAACTGGATATGAAGATTTCTTTCTTACATGGAATGTTGGAAGATGATATCCGCATGAAACAACCAGAGGAGTTCGTTGTTCCTGGAAAGGAAGATTATGTGATCGAGTTGAAGAAGTTCTTATATGGAGTAAAGCAGTCTCCAAGGCAATATTATAAGAGGTTTTACAGTTACATGATCCAGTTGGGTTATAACATGAGACCGTGCAATTGTTGAGTCTATCACAACAAAGTTGATGATGGTTCTATGATCTATCTTGTTCTGTACGTGAATGATATGCTCACAGCTGCGAAGTCCACATATGATATTCAGAAGCTGAAGGATCTGCTCAATTCTGAGTTTGGCATGAATGATTTGGGTGCTGCAAAGAAAATTTTGGGCATGGAGATATACTGGCAAAGAGAACAGAATAAGCTTTTTTGTCACAGAATAGCTATATTCAGAAGATTTTGTCTAGATTTGGCATGTCTACAGCTAAGCCTATTAATACTCCAATCGCTGCAAATATTCATCTGTCTTCTGATTATGCACCACAATATGTAGTTGAGCAAGAGTACATGTCTCGAGTTCCATACTCTAATGCAGTAAGGAGTCTGATGTTGTTATGGTATATACTAGACCTGATCTCACACATGCTATTAGTGTTGTCATCAGGTTCATGAGACGACTTGGAAATGAGCATTGGCAGGTTGTGAAGTGGATTTTCCAGCATCTTAGTTCGTCTGATGTTGGTCTCATTTATGGAGGTGATACTCATTGTTTTGTTTCGGGTTATTAAGATTATGATGATGTTGGAGATGTCGACAGTAGAAGATCTATGACCGGCTATATTTTCACTCTTGGTGGTTCTATTGTTAGTTGGAAGGCAACTTTGCAGGCTACAGTGACTTTGTCTACTACTGAAGTGTATATGACATTGAGAGAAGCTGCTAAGGAGAAAAATCTGGTTAAAAGGACTAGTTGGTGATCTTGATCTATATCATGATCAAGCTGTTGTGTATTGTGATAGCTTGAGTGCAATCTGTTTAGCCAAGGATCAGATCCATCAAGGGAGGACAAAACATATTGATGTGAGGTATCATTTTTCTAAGGAATGAGAAGAGAATAAAGGTGATGAAAGTAAGGACTGCTGATAATCATGCTAATATGTTTACCAAACCGGTCCCTCATAGCAATTTCTGACTTTGCTTAGACTTGCGAAATGTCACAAGCCGGTAGTTGCCCGAGAGGGGCAAATCTAAGGCAAAATGAAGAAGTCTGTTCATCTGACATTAATGATGCATCCGTAAGTAGGATTCAAGTCAAGGTGAAGATTCGTTGAAATGCCTTGAATCTAATTTTTCATTTCGCTGAGTTTTGGACTGAACCCGTCTGATTTATTCTCTTTTTTATTTTAATAGAGTTAGCAATATGAAATCTGTAATCTGTAACCTTGCCGGCGTGAGTAAATCTGTTTACCATTTCTTCCAGTAGACGTAGACAACATGTTGTTGGTAAACCACATAAATTTGTATCCTCTTTAAGTTTTCTATTTGTTATTCGATCATTAACCCTTATCCGCCACAACATAAAATACGAGATATTTTATATATTTTTACTAAAACACTAAGGGTATTATATAATTTACCTATTAATTCTAAATTATCATAAAGCATGTATTATGATGTTGCAATTATACATGTTAGAATTATCTAATGACTATCATACCATGAAATTAAACGTAAGGATATATATACATTGTAAAATTATTTTATGAAAACTAGAAACTTGCATTATTATTCATAACGATGAAAGAGACCTATAAATAGGCATGACATAATGGATAAAACCAAATATAAAACAACTAAATAACTAAAAAAATATCTCAACATACATAATCTATAATAGTTGGGAATGCATCTTCGCTTGACATGCAGATGACGTCTTCGATCATTAAACATTATGTGAAAAAAATTTCGTTATAAATGGGCGATGAATAAAATTGGGTATACTATTACTTTAGTATTGTGTTTGACCGCTTATTATAGTGGAAGTAAGTGGAGCCTATTACATTTGGTTTCTTAACTACAAAAATTTGGTAGAAATGATCACTCGTTATCGGAATGGCCACGCTGTAGCTGAGTAGTCTCATCGGTGTTGATTTGACACTGACATGGATGATCTATTATAGCCACATCAGAGCCAAATGATTTTTTATTATTTTTTATGTTTAAAAATTCTACTTGGCATAAAAAATTTTAAAAAATTCACTTGGAGCTGAGGTAGTATTGATGGCGCCAAATCAACATCAGTGAGTCTACTAAGTGACAACATGGTGATTTCAATCACAGAGGACTAGTTCTGTCAAATTTTTGCAGTTGGGACCAAACGCATAAAGGTCAAAATTACTGCACGAAAATGGTAAGAGGTCAAATAGGAGTAAAATATTTTACTAATAAATTTGAACATATGATAGAGGTTTTCACTACTTTCACATATTTTTGAACTGAAACTCTTCGAAAAATAAAATAATTAGTTAGAAAAATATGTCTCCTTCATATTAATTTATGTACTTATATTTTGAAATTTCAAATAGTTTGTGATATCTCTAATTTTTTTTTGAAAGGGTTGGTGGAGCACCTAATAGGGGACAAAAATGTGTTGGAGAAACTGAGGAATAGAATGCAGTGAATGTATATGTAGATAATCTCTCTACTCCCATCCATCTCATTTGTTAATCATAGAGAAAATATTGTGGCTTGTTTACATTTCTCACTATATTTGTTTGTGTGTGGATGAGAATATTTGAACGAACACATAATTAATTCATTGAACTTTCATTCCCCTCATTGTTGAGGCTGAACCTATCTAACTCTTTTTATCTTTTTTAATTAATATTTATGAATGATGTATGTACGCATGTATGTATATGCACATACAAATGAGTTAACAGGCATACTCTATATTCAGAGAACTACACTATCGGAGTTCATTGGGTAAGGGTAAATGAAAAAAATAAAAAGAAGGAAAGAAAAAGACACATACCGCTTGCTACCGAAGAATTCTTTTCTATCTCCCGTTTGCTTACACCATAATTCGCAATGGTTTAAAGCTTGAAATCCTGAATTTATATTTCTAATGAACTTATTTCAATACTTGTTTTTGTATATTCCAAGATTTGGTATCAAAACATTTTTGCCTCTTCTTTGCCTAACTTTATTCCTTTCACATTTATGATTAAGATCTGTTTCACTTTTATTTAGAAGTTGGCACATTATGTTGCCCAACTATATAGCTTGGCACGCACATAGAGATGCTGCAATATATTCAGCCTCGCAAGTTGATTGCGCAACAACCAATTGCTTCTTTGAAGACCAAGTACACGCCGTGTTTCCTAACATGAAGCAATGACCATTCATACTCTTTCATTCATCCAAATCTCTACCCCAATCACCATCTGAGTAACCAACAAGTTCATTCTTTTTGGATGAAGGGTAAAATAAACCATAACTACGAGTGCCATTGATATAACGCATAATTCACTTCACAGCTTGCAAATGTGATTGTCTTGGCAACTCCATGAAGCGACTCACTAGCCCCATAATGTAGCAAATATCGGGTCTTGTGGAAGTAAGATATCTCAAACTGCCAACGATTTGCTTGAACAAAGTAGGATCAACCATTCAATCACCCCCATTCTTAGTCAATTTTGTACCGGTATAAACTGGTGTCCCTATAGGATTAGAATTATGCATCTGAAATCCTTTTAGGAATTCTGAAGCATACATTTCTTGGTTAATAAAAATTCTATCTTTCCTTTGAACTACCCTGATTCCCAAAAAATAAGACATGAGACCGAGATCGGTCATTTCCAACTCCATCACCATCAACTTCTTAAACTCTTCAATCATCTTTGGATTTTTCCCTGTGAAGATAATATCATCAACATAAAGGCATAAAATTAATAAATTATCATCGCTATCCTTCATGTACAATCCATGGTCAAAGGGGCACTTTACAAATCCAACTTCTTGAAGGAACAAATCAATTCGTTTATTCCATGCTCGAGGTGCTTGCTTGAGGCCATATAAGACCTTTTTAAGTTTACAAATTTTATTTTCATATCCTCCCGCACGAATCCAGGTGGCTGCTGGACATAAATTTCCTCATCAAGTGGGCCATTGAGAAAAGCCGACTTGACGTCCATTTGGTGTACTTTTCATTGCCTTTCAGCCGCTAAAGCAATTATCAACCTTATTGTCTCCATTCGGGCCACAGGGGAGAATACTACTTCATAATCACAGCCCTTTTGTTTCTCAAAGTCTTTTGCAACTTGTCGTGCTTTGTATCTCTCTACTTCGCCAATGGATTTAAGTTTGATCTTATAAACCCATTTGACATCAATAGCCTTAAAGTCTATTGGTAAATTTGTGAGTTGACATGTTCCATTCCTTTCAATCACTTTCATCTCCTCATTCATGGCATTGACTCATTTTGAATCACAAATTGCATCCTTAAATCTCACAGGTTCTGAATCTGCAACAAAAGCAAAGGGTACAAGCTCTCCATTGTCATCAATCTCATTATCAAGAGTTACCTCGTAGTCCTGCAAATGAGCTGGTACTTGTGTATTGCTTTTCGGTCTCAGCACACTTGTTTCCTCATTTAAAGGTATAGACATCTCTGAGTTCACCGGGGGCATCTCAGTAGTGATCGAAGTTGATCCAGACATTTCTTGTTCTTCATAAAAAACACAGATTGTGTACTGCTGTGGATTTTTTTGGATGTTTACATTCCAAACCCATGATTCTTTCTCAGAAAAAGTGACATCACGGCTAACAATTACCCTTTTGGTAAGTGGATTATACAATTTATACCCTCATTCTTTGTAACCAATAAACACACATTTTTGGTCTCTATCATCAAGTTTTGTTCTCATTGATGCAGGAACATGTGCATATGCAATCGAGCCAAGTACCTTCAAATGCTTCACATTAGGCTTGAATCCACTCCAGGCTGCAAGAGGAGTTATTTTATTCAAGCTCTTACTAGGCGACTTGTATAGCAAATAAACAGCGGTTTTCATAGCTTCAGTCCAGAACAAATTAAGCATACCTCTCGCTTTCAGCATACTCCTCCCCATATCCAATATAGTCCGGTTCTTTCTTGCAGCTACGCCATTATGTTGTGGAGTGTAAGGAAATGTTGTAGTGTGTTGCACGTCATGCCTTTCATAAAATTCCTTGAACTCATTTGAGGTATATTCACCACCGCCATCACTCCACACCATCTTGAATTCATATTGCCTTTCTTTTTCAACCATAGCCTTAAATACCTTGAAGCAATTGAAGACCTCAAACTTGTTCTTCAAAATATAAACCCACGTTTTCTTTGAAAATTCGTCAATAAATGTGAGAAAATATTTGTTGCCACCAAGTGATGTTGTGTTCATCGGATCACATACATCAGTATGAACGAGCTCTAACGACTGTCGAACACGCCATGAATTTCCCAAAAATGGTAACCTGTGACTCTTTCCAATTACACAAGCCTCGCACAACTGGTCAAGGTGTTCAATATAAGGCAAACCAATCACCATATTTTGTTTGGCAAGGTTTTTAAGGCTTTGAAAGTTGAAATGACCAAACCTTAAATGCCAAATCCATGAATCATTGTTTATTGTGGCACTCAAGCACTTGTATTCACCCTTAGTGATATCAACGGGAACAAATTTTTTGAGAAAAAAGGTTTTGAGAACTAAGGTACCTTGTTTATAAAAAATAGAGAGGTGATTTCCAGAGATATTGAGCCAGTAACCCTTCTCGGCCAATTGCCACAGACTTAGCAAGTTGCTCTTCAAATCAGGTAAATAGAATACGTTGGTGATGTACTTGTGATAGCCATTTTTCAATGTGATGAGAATATTGCCCTTTCCGGTCACAGGAACACTTCTACCATCGTCAAATCTCACTGTTGTATGAAATGATTCATCTATATCAGCAAACAATTCTCTACTTCCACACATATGATTTATGCATCATGTATCCAAAAACCAAGTTTGAGTCCTTGGCACCTCAATTGGTGTAGAGACCATCATAATGGCATGACCACCTTCAGTTTGACACTGGATTTATTCTTCCTGCACATAGTTTACAGCTTGGCTCTCACTCTTTTATCTGCATTCATTGGCATAATGACCTCTTTTGTGGCAATTATAGCACTCTACACGTGATTTATCGTGTCACCCTCTACCCCGTCCACGACCTCGGCCTCTGGACAACTGAAATTTATTAGTCCAATCACTATTGAGTGAATTATTTAGTTGGAATGATAGCCTCTTCGTCCTTGATTTGAGTAATTCCGCGTTGCCCTCGGCCTCTATCCTGAATGCTTCCTAATTTCCGTCCAGAATCACCAAATGAAGTTTGGGCTTGAAGTGTTTTTTTCAACGAGCGTCTCAACCTTGTTATTGTCTATTCTTTGTTATGTACCTTCAATGAACGGGAAAATAAATTTACAGTCAATTTTGTCACATTGTGAACCTCTTCAATGGCAGTAACCACATGCTCGAATCTCGAAGTAAAAGTTCTAAGAATCTTTCCACCTTTCCTTGTTCTAAAATTGTTTCGCCATTGACTTTCATATTGTTGGCCAATGCAAGAACACGATTGATATATGCATCAATTGTCTCGGTAGACTGCATCTCCATCAACTCATGTTGGCACATTAAAGTCTGAAGGCATACTCTCTTGATTTTTTCATCACCCTTGTAAGATGCAGTCAATGTACTCCAAGCTTCATGGGAGGTAGAAACACCTTCTATTTGCTCAAATTTTTCATCATTCATCCGTTGGAGAATGAAATACAAAGCGTTCTTATACTTCTTCTTCTTTCCATTATGAGCAGCCCTAATTGCCTCAGAACATTTCTGGAAATTCTGGAAAACTAGATTCAACGACTTCTAATAAATCCTGATAATCGAACAAGACTCTCATTTGAGCACTCCACCGATTATAATTTTTCCCATCAAGAATAGGGACCGATAATTAAGTGACATTGTTCATAGTATTGGCTCTAATACCAATTGAAAGAAGATAAGACGATGATACAAGTAACCAATAATATAAAAATTTTCTCTTATTTCACAAAATAAAGTTCAATAATATAGATAAACCAAAATTCCAAGAAAGGAAAACAAACTAAAATATGTAAATAAATCTTATCTGCTAAATATAAGACTCAATCAAAATGAATTATTCAATCAACACCTAAAATAGGACTCAATCATAGTAAATCAGAATTAATTATTCAATCAACAATATCTTTACAAATTAAAAGATGCAACATAAAAGAGGCACTCAAACTAACTATTAAGTGCTATCTGATGTAATTATCTGAGCCTTCACAACAACTAGTAGTAAAAATATGTTGATATAATATTTTTTACAATATAAGATTAAAAAATCTCTATTTCAATCACAAAAATATTTATATATTTACATTAGCTTACAAATTTCTTAAATGATACAACTAGCATAAATATAATGGAAAACCTATTTTTCTTAGTACTGCACATGACCCCCTTATCATTATAGAATCATAACTAGACTTTGTATTGGATTATTCCGACAAGTAAAAAACATTTGGCAGAAATAGTCCTCTGGCGCAGCCGAAGTTGCTGTCGTGGCACACCGGAGAATGTGTGGGTGACATGTGGATAGATAATGTTTGAGAATAATTTCTTCCAAAGCTTTTTAGTTATGAGAGTAATATAATAGGAAGTCTAGTTATGGTCCTAAAATAATTCTAAGATATTTCCACGTGTTATTCACACAATCTCATATGAGTCATGACGGTGCCATGTC